CAAATGACCATATTAAGAATGGAATAGCTTGCACACAGTGGCCAGGAAGGTTACAATGGGTTGATATTTCTAAAATCATAAAATCGTCAAAAACACGTCAAGTATTGGTTGACGGTGCACATAATCCACCTGCAGCAAAAGCCCTTAGAAATTATGTTGATAAGCAATTACAATTACAGAATAAAGAAGTTACAAAGACTTGTAAAGTTTGTTGGATATTTGCTGCCACAGAAGGAAAAGATATTTCGAAAATACTTGAATTATTAATGAGAAATGGCGATTCATTGTTTGCTGTGAGTTTTACGAATGTCGAGGGCATGCCTTGGGTTAAAAGTTATGATCCACAAGTTATTTTGGACTGTGTAAATTCATTTGAACAGAAGGTTAATTCAAAAGTTGTAGAAAACCTAGGTGAGGCGCTCAGTCAAGCATTTGCAGGTTACGAAAAACAATATCAAATAGTTGTTTTATGTGGAAGTTTGTACTTGGTCTCTGATTTATTTAGAATGCTTCAATGATCTTAAATATTTGAAATGTATAATATTAATCAAGAAAACACGTTTAATTGCTAAATATATTATAAAATATAAGAAATGTGTGCCAGCTTGAATATAAGTGGGGTAATGTATAATGATAACGACAAGCGTTTATCATACATGTACGTTGATCAAACTCTTTAGACTATGTTGTGCTTTAGGCCAACGTTTGTGTGAGATTTTTGTTGACCCAGGTTCAAGATTAGGGTGAAGTTAGGATATAGATGTTGCATCCGAAGTAGCTACCTATTTTGAAATAGTCACATCAGATATCCTAGACTAAATTAAGTCCCTGAAATTAAATATCTAAAGGATCTACTTCAGATAAGTAGCTACTCCAGGCGCAACAATATTTTATAAGCTTCATTAATAGAGTACTTTACGCAGGCATAACCCCCAGAGAAATGGTGAGAATAAAAGTAGTAAAGCACCGCATTTGTTGGCAGTATCAGTTCTTCACAATAGGTATCTGCTACTTACTAATGACAAACTAACATATGTTTATAGCCGATAGTGGGTTTGTTACCTAATACATTTACTGATTTCAGTTTGGATGAATATTGTAAAACAATGCTTTTATTACTATCAAAAAATACTATTCGTTAGAGGAATGCTATTTGTAATCTCTCACAAACGTCAGTCTATTGCTGGGCATAACATATATCAGTATAGATTATTGTAAAAGTATGAATCTTTTGCAATATAGGCCTCTAAATTAATTGATTAAATAATATATATTTTTTTAATGGTGTCATCTATACTGCAATAGATCCGGCTAGATAATTGACCCGGGGCTAACGCTAAAATCAAAATCGTAGAGATTATTATTATGTTCAGCTAACCATTAAAAGTGAATAGACAGAATTGTTTATGAGATACTGTTTATATCAAACACTCGCCAACTGGGATGTGTGGCATGGATAAAAGACTTATCGTTGTAAAGGAAAAGGTGACCTGGCTGTATACAAGTGATATGATCATGACCTGAAGTGTAAGGTTTTAACAAATGTTAATCAGAAATCCAATCATTAAAAGATCTTTAAAAAAAATAATAAATAAGACTTCACTAAAGCCAACTGATTGATGAC